ATCTTAGACAATGTGAACATATAGAAAGAGAGGCTGCATGAGATATCATAAACAAAAAAAACGGAAAAGCAGATATAAAAGGAGAGAGTGGATGCACAGCTTGACGGCCGCGGTGCCGTGGCATTCTCCACCCTCCCCTCCCCCCACTCCTATTGCGCCGCGTAGGCGTGCCTGCGCACAAACACAGCCAGACACAGACGGAGGCAAACGAAAAGGCAGCAGCATAACGCCCTCGTCGCCGCCCGCACCCGCAGGAGTGGAGGGCAGCATACACACACACACACACACACGGCATCAGAGGCCCACACTGTAAACATAAAAAGAGAGGTGAGGGGGTGGGATGGAAGGACCCCTCGCTGCGGAGAGGGACAAACAAAAAAAGCACCAACAACAACAGCGCACGCACGCACGCACACACACAACATGAGCAGTGGCGGACAGCGGGAGCAGCTGAGCGAAGAGAGGCAAAAAACGCATATGCCCACATGTTCTCTCCTCTCCTCTCAGAGCTCCCACCGCGGGAATCGCGCCTCCACAGAAGTTTCTGTTGCACGCCTTGTTGCATGAACGACAGGCAGAGGCCCGAAGTATCCCTTCCTCATTCACCGCGGCGCCCCCCGCGGCCGCACACAGGGGCAGAGCGGCCTCAAAGCTTTACTCCTCCTTCCTCAAGTTAACATTCGCTGCGGCGGGAGGCTGGCGTGCCACAGGGCGTCGCTTCCGCCTCCGCCGCGGCCGCCGAGTGCTGGCTTTTTCGTCCCTCCTCCCAGCACTCGGGTGTCGGCGGGCCTACAGGGGAAGACGCGGCTGACTGCGCACGGCGCCCATCCTTCGCGGACGCCTCCCGCATCCACTCTACGGGCATCATCCCCTCAAAAGAGAGCCCCCGCCGCGCCTGCGCCCCTGGCACCGCGCCGTCACCGTCACCGCCGCCGTGGCCCTCGTCCACCAGGACAAACGTCGCGTCGCCGTCGGAGTGGGTGCGGGGAAGGTAGGGGGCAGGGGCCCCGTACACCGCCTCCGCGCTCGGCAGCGTCTCCGCGGCGTTGCTGTTGGGCGGCACCGACACGCTGGAGGAGCTCCGCTCGGCCTCCGCTTCCGCGGCAATCCGCTGGCGCGTGAGCCACACCAGGAGCAGCTGCAGCAGGTCGGGCCCCGGCAGTGCCTCCGGCGGCGGCGTCTCGCTCGCCCGCGCGCGCATCACAATGTTGGGAATACTCGCCATTGTCCCGTCCGTCTGCCGCAGGAGCTGGGGGCGCAGTCGCCGCACGTTGCGCTCCGTCAAGCGCTCGCCGTGGCCCGGGAGATGCAGGACGAGCGCGATCCCCTCGTACGCCTCGCGCCTATCGAGCAGGATGGAGACGACGCGGGAGAGGTGCTCGCGCCGCCAAAGCTCCTGCTCCCGCGCGTTCAGCGTCAGCCGCAGCAGCTCCCGCCGCTCAATCCCCCGCCGCCTGCGCCGCTCCAGCTCCAGCCGCCGGTAGTGGCGCAGGCAAATAAACACCAGCACCAGCGTGAGCACGAAGATGGTGCCGAAGAGCAGCGAGAGGGCAATCACCGACGCATTTTCAGTCATGCTGCCCAGCGCGGGGGCCTACGAGGCCGGCGGCGGCGGATAGAGGTCCTTCTTTTCCTCTTCTTCCTCCCACCCACACACCCCGTCGCGCAGTCCGCGGTGGGTTTCCCTACAAGTGCCTACGCACCCAGAAGTCAAAAAGCAACAAAAAGCAAAAGAAAAAAAAAGCACAGCGAGGAAGGATGAGGCGGAGGGCGGCGGTGGACTTGGGAGAGGCGTCGCCGAGGCGCAGGGGAGCGACCAACGGCAGGAGAAAACAACGGCAGCGACGCAACGCCGCGGCACGCACCTCACAGTTATTCGCGGTTTGTTAGCGTGCGTGGGAGGTGGGGGAAGTGGGAGCGGCCGAGCAGCAAGTGGGGTGGGTGAATGCGTGGATGCGGGAATGAGCACGCCGGGCTGAGGCCAGCGAGAGAGGCGTCAGGGTACAAAAAAAAACCGGCAGGAACTAAAAAAAAATGACTCATAAAAAAAAAACTACAACAACAAAAAAGGTCCAGGGAAGTATTGAGTAAAAAAAATGAAAACGAAAGGAAAAAAAAGAGCAGGAAACAAGAAGGCACAGATTCATTTTGCCTTTACTCGCCTGCTTGGACGCCAGGGGGCGGCCACACAAGAGACCCACACGCACAGAGCGAGAGGAAGCGAGTGCAGGAAGGAGGCGGTGTCTGCGGTCACGCCGCACCCCCGCGCAAAAAGGTGGTGGTGGTGAGGGGGAAAAACGACAACAACAAAAAGACACTGCGTCACACCCCTCTCCTCGCGTGCGCGTATTTCTCCGCCTCTCGCACTGCGTACGCGCCAGCCCACGGGCAACGCCGTGCAAGTCCCCTCCTCTCTTGGCTGCTTCTTTTTTTTTTTTTTTGCCTTGTCCTCTGTATTTTTGTGTGTGTGTTTCCCTTCTCCATCTCTCCCTCTTTCCCTCCCTGCCTCTTCCTTGCGCTTCTTGCTGCCGCACTTGCTTCAGCGGGCGGGTGGGGGGCCCCAACGCAACGACGGCATTTCCCCGCCGCCCGCCCCAGGGGGCCAGCAGGGCACCTCACACGCCGCGCAGGCAACGGCGATGAACCCCCCCCCCGAAAAAAAACAAGCAAGCAAAAGAAAGAAACAAATGCCGAGCACGCGGCAACACGTCCCCGCCTCTCTATTCCCCTCGCCCCGCCCCGCAGTACCTCTCGCATGACACGCCCAGCCCCCGCGGCGTCTGCGCAAAGCCCCGCACACCTCCCCACCCACATCCAACTTTACGCGGCAGCAAATTAAATAAACACGGCCATATATGTATATGCATACGCATAGAGCAATAGATTGAGGGCTTGAGGGGAAAAAGTTAGATGGGGGGTGCACACACGTTTATTTGCGCGCAAGGGAGGCCCAGCGCAAAGACGCAACAAGAAGAGGAAGAAAATTGGGGTTGTCCCCCCCCCCTCCTCCTTCGCTGCACTCGGCGACGCTGGCGACAGACAAACAGACACACGTGAAGTTGAGGAGAATTCTACGTGCGGAGACGAAAGGGAAAAGTTAAAAAAAGAAGAAAAAAAAGCCTAAAGGAAGGAAATGGAAGCGGGTGATGAACGGGAGGGGATGGGTGAAGCCGTTTTCGTTGTGTTACTCCCGCATCCTCCTTTCCGCCATCCACGACTGCTCCTGCTGCCGTTCCCGCCCCCTCTCACTTATCGCGCCTGCGGGCGAAGGAGGAGGTGGAGCAGGCGCCCGGGGAGCGCCGCAGCGCCGCGGCCGCGCTCGTCTTCGCGGAGGTTTCCGCCCCGGGCGTCAAAAAGATCACGAGATCGTCGCCGTTCTTCAGCGCTTCCGGCGGCGGCGGCGGCTCCGGCGAGGAGGAACGGCCCCGCCGCCGCCTCCCCGGCCCCGCCGGCGTGGAGGAGACGGCGGAGGCGGCGGAGTCCACGGAGGAGGCGCGCCCCGCCGCGGCGCCGGGGCGTGTCGCGGGCTCCCGCAAGCTGCTGATGACCCGCAGGAGCTGCGCCGCACGCTGCCGCTCCCGTTCCTCGTGGGCGGTTTGTCGGCGCGCGAGCTCCCGACGCTGCATGCGCCGGCGCACGGCACAGACGCCGCAGATGAGCAGCGCCAGCAGACCGGCGAAGCCGACCAGGATGAGGAGCACGACGAAGAAGCTAAGAAGAGTGTCCAGCCCCTTCGCCATCGCTGCAGGCACCACAGGCAGGCACACGCGGAGAGGGCAAAGCTAAAGGGACTGAGGAAGCGAGCGAGAGAAGAAGAAAAAGAGAAAGAGAAAAATAGAGAGCGAGAAGCCAGTCGGGGGAGGCGGAGGAGAGTGAAAACACACCCCACGCCAGAAGTTGCCGTCCCGCTGCACTTTAATTCCTGCTGCTGCGTGCCTCCCCGCACGACCCCACCGTGCCGCTGGCGGGCACAACAATGAAAGAAAACAACTGAAGTCCGCCCCCCGCAGCTCGTGGCAAAAGGAAACAGGGAGGGAAGCGACAAGAAACAGATGGGGACCGGATGGGCACAAGAAAGCGCCCACCCCAGCTTCCTCCTCCGCCCACTACACAGACAGAAACACATGGAAAATCAGGAGAACAAACACACGACATAATTCACCCTTCCGTCAGACTTGTTCTACACCAGCCGCCAGCCACGGCGCGGGTCACAGGCAAAGGGGCTGGCCATAGGGGCCTCGCACCGCTTCTAATGATTCTCTGCCCGCAGATTTGTACACAAGTAGACATATTTATACACATAAATAATAATATATCGGCACACACACAGAGAGAGAGACTATATATATATATATTCATTTAGACGCATGCGCGCTTGTAGGAGGCGGAGTGAAGGGCACACGCAAACCAATCGCGTGCGTCCCCCCGTGGCAGCACCCACGTCTACCGGAGGGAACTGACAGAATATAACTTGTGCGCGGCCGCCCCGCCCTCCCACCCCCAGCAAAAAAAAGAAGAATAAATAAAGTGAAATGAAACAATAAGTAAAACAAAAGCACAAAAAAACAATAAGTGACAAGCGAACTCAAAAACATAGCCAGCACACACACGGTAAAAAGACACACCTGACCGACGCTGTTGGGCTGAGGAGGAGGGAGGGGGGGGGGGGCGAGCAGCGCGCCAAAAGGGACGAAGGCCCCCCCCCTACCCCCAAACGTAAACCCACCCCCCGCTCCCCTCAGCGTCCGCAGCAAACACAGTAAAAAACGGGGGCAGCTCTGCTGGGAGCCACAGTGTCTCGGCTCCTTTGCTCACGCCGTCCCCCGCGCCACACCACGTTATTTGCGTAAACAACTGACATAACAAAGAAAAACGCACAAACACACACAGCACAGGCCTGCTCTGAGCCTTTAACTTACTGCAACTTTCACTGGATCCGCGGGGCCGGGCGTTGGCGACGGCACAGAGGGGCCGGTGGGGAAGGGAGGCAGCGGGCGGCCAAGAAAGGGCAAGCCGACACCACGCACTCGGTCGCTGCCACCGGAAGGCAGCAAAAGGCATCAAGGGCGCTGGCCCTCGCCCGGGGACTGCGAGGCTGCCCCAGGCCGCCCCTCCTCCTCCGACGCCGCACCGCCGCTGCCCGGGAGGTACGACGCCTCGCCGTAGACGACGTTGGCGGCGCGCAGTTGGTAGATCGTCCCGGGGAGGTGGCGCAAGCCGCAGCTGTCCGCGTCCACCTTGGGCAGGCCGCGGCCGCGGTCGATGGGCAAGCCCCGCATAACCGCCCCGGGCGCGGCCCGAGGCAGGACGTTCCCCTCCGCCGCGGCGCCGGGGCTGCCGAGGCGGCCAGGGAGCGCAAAGCAAGGCATCTGCTGCTCGCTGTGCACGCGC